ATCATTCCTATATATACAGATTACAAATCTATCTCCCCACTTATATCTCCATTTATAGAACCAAGCTCCCCTCATATGAACTATCACTGACACTCAAAGTCAACCCACTTTATCTTGTACTCCCTGCATCCAGAGTTGTACTAAAAAGATATGGAGAGTGCTTGTGTTTATGAACAGACAACAGTCATCCATGAGCTCACTCAGGGAATAGAAATGGCTAAACAGCTTAGGCTCCATCTAAATTCTGCTGAAGCTAGAGAATTCTTGATACATAAGATCTTATCTTCATATGATAAAGCTCTTTTTACTCTTAAATCAGCCGGGCAACCACGGGCAATTCCACTGCCCGAATCCAGTCTGCCCAAATCATCCATATCCACAGTCAGCCCTAAAAGCGGAGAATTTGAGTTTGACGAAAATGCTGTTTCCAAAAAGAGGTATTTTGATTTTCACTTCTCGTTGTTTCTTTATTCTTCACTTAAATGAATGAGCAGAATCTAAATCTTGTTTCTTGATTGGTGTTTACAGAAAGGCATCAACACCATGGGAAGACGAAGTAGAGGGTAACACGAATGATGTTTACAGTTGGAAGAAGAGAAGAGATGAAAATCCAACAGTCTACAAAGGGATACCCACCTGCAGCAATGTCGTACAGTCGGCACCACCACCACCACCGTCGCCGGAAAAACATGAAATAAAGCCAACCCACCACCACCAACAACAACAACAACTATCAACACCGTATCCTGGAGAGGTTCTCTCAAATCTCAGAGCAAACCTCAGTGTTAACACGTGGGACTTGAGTGCCATTCTTCCATCTTCATTTTCCTTCTCTTCAACACCATTTGGATTCAGTGATGATGATTTCGAAACACTTAGTTTTCCTAATCAGTTTGATGATGAACTATTGCAAGTCTATTCACCACCTTTTATCTCTCCGGACACCTCTGAATCTAACTACCTCACAGACTGGGGTATTTCTTCATCGTTGGATTTCACAAGCGACCCGGAAGATCTATACCCGGATTTCAAATTATTTAACAACTGTTTCTTATGAATTATGATAGATAGCGCTCAAGAACTACACAAGTAATGAACAAGAAATAAATGATTCATTATTAGAGTTCCCAGTTGCAGACTGAGGCTTGCTAGAACTATGTTTGTACATATTTGAAATGTAAGATTTTATAACTAGCTAGCTATGGAACATCTACAAGTAATGTATCAATACAAATTTTTGCAACTTGAAACCCGGTTTCTATTCTTCTTGAACTTGAAGAAAAGTACAAGTCACATGAAGCATATATTATGCATTTATATCTTTTTCTTATAATTCCCAAGTTTGGAGCTATGTGGATGGAGTGTTGTCATCTGGTACCACAGATTCAGCATCAGGTACAAGTTGCTTTTGGTCATTGGGTTTTTTCTTAAGAGCTTGTCTTAGGCCAATAACAATAAACAGATTGGTCAAAGTCAGAAGTGATTCAGCACCACCATGTAACCAATCCACATTTGATAAGGAAGTTCCATAATGCACCTTAGCTGTGTTCAAAAAGATTCACAAACTTCAAATCAAATATGTTTATTTTATAAGAGTCTTATTTGCTGTTTTTTTGGGAAAGAGGAAATTACCATATATTCCTGCAGGAACTGGATGTGAAGAACACCACCATAAAGAAAATTGGTTAGACCAAATGAGTTACTATCATTATGAATCAGTGCACTTTGTATGTAAAAATGACAGATACAACACTCCAATGGCAAAAAACAATACGGGATTTTCATAATTTTCCATCAATTGTGAAGCTCAAGCAAATGAGGATATGGAAATGCTTTGAACCATAGCAGAAGCAAATCATTTTTTCAGTAATATCATGCCAAATTTTATTAAGACAACCGATTGTGAGCATAATAAACAACGGAATTTTTGTTGCATACTAACACTATCATTCGTACTAAATTGTAAAACATGTTATTGTTACCAACAATTAGTGATTTCAAACATCCATTGGAGGTGTAAATGCAATTTTTTATGCATTTTGTGTCTAAGAAAGATGGTGTTTGAGGATCAATAAGAACACAAGGTTAGGAAAATTCACTTGGTAATATTAACAAACACTTGGCAGGCAAGAAATCCACAAAATTGCTAGAGCGCAATAAGGAGTAACGAGTACTATCAATATAAGAACATTAGATAAAAGGAGGAAACTTAACTGGTGGCGCCAACAAAAGCAAGCAAGAAGTAAAAACCAAAAAGGGTAAGCTTCGGCGCGGAATTGGATCTGGTGATGAAGTACAAAAACCCAATGTACGGAAACAATGAGAAAGCAAAGAGTTGTGAAGCTATGCTCTGTGAATCAATGGTGGGTGACCATGGATCTACTGGAAAAGGCAATCCGTTTACAATAAAATTACTTCGATTTTTCTCGGAAAGTTTAGCCTTTCTGAAGCAGTTGACCTCTTTGATTGCATTGGGATAATGGGTAGTAACTTTGAAATTGTTTGGAAACAACGAAGAAGAAGAACCCAGTAAGATAGGATTACGGCAAACAGTCTGCAGACAGTTGATCATTGTGTTTGAGTGGTGAAGTGATTTAGCGAGCTTTCTGAGAAACACGAGGCTACTTACTTATCGTTGTTTCATTTTGTTTTTAGGAGGTCGTTCGGACTTGAGATTGGTCGTTTTAAGGAATAGGAGGTAAGGGTGTTTGTTATTCGTTTAGTTTATGGATTTGGTTTAATTGGTTTTTAGGAATCGTAAATTATGGGTTATTTTATAGGGAAATTGCATAATGACCATTTGGTCCGGAGTGCAGCGCTTGGGACCCGATTTCATATTCGGTTAAACTAAACAGGTAGATAATATTTTGACCCGGTAATATCCTATAAATATCATTTAATCCGTTTCGGATTAGATTTTGACATCCCTTATTTTGGATTACCCTACATCCCAATCCGGACACTTCTACAATTGAAAATGTCGTCTGATAGTAGTGAAGAAATACAGTTTTTATATGTAAGTTTCAAAATTGTTTCTAATTAAATGCATTTATTTTATATTATACATTAAAAATGTTTAATTTACGCAATTATATAGGTATTATAGGGTTTTGTATAAATTTTAATCATGTTAAGGTAATTATAGGGTTACATGGACTTATACATTTATACTACATCATACACCGTTATCAAAACCCCTAATTTTCGCTAGTCAAGAACGTGTTCGGAATCCGAAAATCATATCTAGAATTCGAAAATATACCTGAAATACAATGAACCGGGTCTGGAATTTTGGTCTGGAAATTTATGGTCCGGACTACCGTACTAGATTTTTTTTGTCTGGAATTCCGGTTACGGAACATACATATAAAAATCTCTAATTAATAACTCTTTTGAGTGTAACACGATAGAACATACAAAGTGGTTGCTACTACAACCTGCAGACCTGAACTTGGGCGCAAAATCATGGTGCGCTTACAAAATCGACCAGTTTGTGGGGCTATGTTTAGGCAATCATGTTTTGGTGATTACGTGAACATGTTGATGGGTGTCGAATGTCACTATTTACTATGTCACTATCTTATGTGCAAGGAAGTTACTACTTTTGATCCAGTTAACCTAGAAGAGCTTCTATTTCAGGTTTGCGACTATCAGGTTTGCTTTGACAAGTAAGCCTTCTGCTTGGTCACCGACTTGCGCTTCAGGAATTATTTCCATCCCAGTTCTAGTTTTGCAGAATTCAGAGAACGTTTGTTTCCATTTGTGCCGTTTTCACATTCGGTGAGTATGGCTAACCTTAAGAACGTGTTCAGTAACTTACTTCGCCAATAAAGCAATAAAGACGTGGTGAGAGTCTCCTTGTTGTGTATACTAGAGCAAGGATTTTCGGGGAAATACTTGTGATGGTCAGTTACTAATAAATGTAATGACACTCGTTTCTAATTTATAGAAGTTTAATAGGCATACAGTTTTTTACCCATATTATATCAAAATGATACTTTTTAGGGAAACAGGGTAATCTAACCATTATTAAGTGCAATTTTTTGACATAGGTACCAATGGATTAGATTGATATGGGATTTCACTTACAAACAAATGTGTACTATGGTTGATAAGATTGAGGACCATTTGAACACAAATGCGCCAAGAGTCGACAATAGACACACATATACTCTGGATTTGTCTATGCATTTAAGGTATGTACACTATGTTTAATAAGAGTTTTTAAACAACAAGTACGATAACTTTGTTAACTTGGTAAGTTGTTTGTTATCTTAATTTTGTAGATTTAAATCTTAGAGCTATTTCCTAACAGTAGTATAGATGGTTCCCATTTACCAGGTGTTATCCCTCGGCCAGTTGTATATCCTAGGATGAAGCGTTTGCATGCACCTAATTGTCAATGTATTCTCGATGTTACTAGTGTATGTAGTTTAGTCCACCTTATAATATAATTAGTTTCTATTACATAAATAACTTAAGATTAACCTTTATATATTGTCTTTATATACCCCCCCCCCCCCCCCCGAGTTGTTGCAGCCTACTACGCAAGAGCATGCTACTAGGTGGTGGATTGAGAGTGTCCAATGGATAGATGTTGCATATTACGTTAATGTTTGAGTTATGATTTTCTTTGTCAATGTTTTAAAACAATTTCCATTTGAAGATATAGCAAAAACAAGTTTATCCTTCCGAACAACATTTTGTAAAATATTATGATATCTTACAAACATCACTATGAGTTTTTTTTTTTTTTTTTTTAACAATAGTATCATACTGTTGGCTACCTTTTTTACTAGTATGTCTAATCTTAGACTTAACATTACTTTTGCCACTTGACTTGGTCCTACTTAAAGATTCGTTGTTTGTTGTCTCTACGGGAAACAAAGCATCATAGTTTCTGCTTGTGTGACTGATCCTTTGGTAATGACTACATTTTTTTTAATCGGACCTTCACCTTGGGATGGAATATGGTTCTGGTTCTTAGGTCGTCCGGCTTGTCATTTGTCCATCAATGGTGGCAAATCAACCATGACTTCATCCGGTTCTTCATATTTAGCTGGAACTGGAACAGGAAATACTACCTCGACATATGTTGATCGATATGTTTCCATTGTGAAGGATGATGACACCCATATACTGCGGTGTTGATATCTCAGTTCCTTTAATATCCCTATAGCATGAGTACAAGGTCTACCCAACAAATGCTATTTCCCACACGTCTAGTAACGACTTTACAAGTTTAATATACCATTTTTCATTTGGTTAGTCACCTCATATCTGCTTTGATCAATCTCATATACTAGAAAAGCAGAGTATTTGTTGATCCTCCCATCGATGACCTTCTCAGCATACTCAGTAACTTCTTTTTTTGCTTTCAGCTATAACAGAATTTACATATATGTTGTCATGCATAGTAAATTACACTACAAATATCATTAAAGTATTACAATATAAGGAAACACTTACCTCCAACATTACATCAATGTCACCACCATTGTTGCATAGTTGCTCGAAAGAAATCAATCAACATTGTTATCGGTAGTTTCCGTGCGTCTCTTGATAATGCATTGACGGACTTAGCACTATTTGATGTCATAATATTGTACCGAACCATAGGGAAACACGACCTTACCCATCTCTCGTTATGGATTCTGTCTAGCCATGTCTGACAATCATTGTTTAATGCACGACGTAGCCTATCTAAGCTTTCTTTGAAATCAGACTCTCTGTAAGCCTTTGCAACCTCCCAAAACAAAATATATGTTCTCTCTTTCTTATTGATCTTTGCTCTCATATTCATCATGAAACGTTCCAAAAATTATAAGATAAAATTTTCATTTTTAATTCAACCAAAAACACTGATTATCTTTTTCCAAACATTCAAAAGTATATCAAAATAAAACAGTTATCAGAGTACAATCTTAAAATCATCAAGTTGCGGAAACATGGGTGGATGCATTGTGATCAACTCAGGCCCTTCCTTTTCGAACCAAAAATTCATAAAACCATAACCATAGAAACCATAAGCACAAATCCTAGTGAGTTCCCCAAAATACCATATACCATACATATCAAACATGTAATGGGCCCCGCCCGACATCGAACCCTGCTCGGAACAGATCTGTCAGTCATCAGGCCTCGCCTGGCAACGGGCCCCGCCCAGTATACATACAAACACATAAACACATGAAAAAAATCACAAATATAAGTAGCATACAATGTAACATCAGGCCCTGCCCAGTAAACACATCAGAAAGCATACATGTAGAGTCACACATACAACTAACATCCTAATCATAATAAACCATGGGCCAACATTGGTACCTTCGACCCGCTAGACACAGTAAGGAAACTCACCTCAATCCAAGATAAACCGAGCATGTGAGTTGCTGCTAACAAAATCCTCACAATAAATATAATCAAATTATCACTAATCAATAATTAAGATAAATTCCCAAAATCCAAGGCCCAAACAATATTTTGTCTTTCTAAAGGGTAAAAGACCATTTTACCCTTCCTATAACTGGTCCAACAACTCATGGCCCAACTCCCAAAAGGCCGAAGGCCCAAAAGGCTTAAAATGAGCTTCTCGGGAGTACTTCTTGCGTACTGAACTCGTACGCCCCGAGTACTACTCTCTTATGTGCAATTTACATGTCGTGAAGCTTGATCCATGCATTACGCTGAGCGTACGTCCCGAGTACTACGTACGCTCAGCATACTCGTCATAGGGCCAAAAACTATCATTAAGCACTTAATGCTTAAGACTAAACATCCAAACTCATATCTAACCTCTAGATAAGGTCTTAAACCATAAAGTTTCCAACTTTACTCCTTTGCATGCCTTAATGGGTCCCAAAATACAAACACAAACTTAAGCATGATTCATCAAAACCCATTAAGATGATATTTTATGGTTGCTAATAACTTTATAATGGATAAAGCTTCCAACTTTGTCCATTAGAATACTCCAACCAACCAAGATCTAGTCTTTAAGTCTCAAAGGGACCAAAAATGCATCTTTTCTAACTTAGTCCAGTAAGTCCAAGTCTCAAGCTTTTGAATCTGAATCAATATGATGTTTAGATGGATAAAGTTTCCAACTTTATCCATAACAAGGTCAAAAACTTTCAAAATCTAAACTTTATGCACTAAAGTGACCAAAAGCTCATAATACCCCAAAACTAGCTAGATCTAACAAATGCACTGTCAAGATTCAAGCTTTATACCTCTAGAAGAAAGATCAAGGTGAACAAAGTCTGGATCTACAAGCTCCAATGTAACCAACACTTCTACAATGAGTTCCTTCTTCTCAAAGGTGCTCCAAGAACACTCAAAAGCACTTAAAACACCTTATTTTTCCTTAAAAGGCTCAAACTAGGGTTAGGGTTTCAAGAGAGGGTGTTGGAGAGGTGGAGGCTGAGAATGGAATGGGTTTAGCGGAGTTAAGGAGCTTAAATATGGCTCAAACCACGAAAATAAGGTTTGGGCACTGATCATTTACGCCTAGCGTACTCAATTTATCCCCAGTGTACTAGGGATGCCCTAGTACGCCCAACGTACACGTTAGGTATGCCCAACTTATGTGGCTCAACCCAAAACTACCCTAACTTCAAGCGATCATAAATTCTTTATTTCAACTCCTATTTCGAAGATCTTTATCTGCACATAAAGGTGTTGAGAGTCTCTACAACCATATTAAATCCTATTTTCCGTAAAACTTACTGAACTTAAATCTAAAATTCATAAAAGGCTTGAACTATCACTTTATGGTTATACCCTTGGGCTCCAAAGCACCAACCGAACTCTCGGATCACCTAATCTACATTACCCACATCCAAAGGGGTCTAAATCTCTCTTTCCCCAAGGCCTGAAGCCTTATGATAACTGGTCTTCGAGTCACATCTTGAATTATGAAATGATTCGAAACAGGGTGTTACAACTCTCCCACACTTAAATTAAACTTCATCCTTGAAATCACTCCTTGCTACTCTCCAGGAAATCAGACGATCCGACCAACTCTTCCAGATCCCTAATGAAAAGCGTCCCCAACATATAATGACCTTCCAATAATCAAACCCATTCTTAGTAGGACTCATATGCTTACGAAGAACGAATGCCTGCTCCCACTAACCTTAACCAATGAAGGACTGCCACTACTCAGCTTAAATCCAGGAATCCAATACCTTATCCGACTTCCTGGCATGCAAAACCATTCTGAAATACTATCAATAAGACATGTCTCTACAATTTGAACTAAATAAATCATCCCGATCCTAAATCATTTATCTGACACATTTGGAAGATAAAGTCCTAACCATACCTTGTTGTTGAAAAGATCTTCCATATAAATAAAGGCGACTACCAATGCGAGTCTCAACCCCTTGTGTTAATTGGGAACATAACTCACGCCCCAAAATTCAAAGATTTACCCTTGCATTCCATTTGAAATCTATTGATTCCACAACGACCTTCCACTTATCTGGAATATAAAATCCCCAATCCACCACGAAGATTGGCAGACTCAAACCTGACCTAACCACCAGGCTCCTAGTAAGAGTCAAACTGATAAAGGCTAACCTAGCCTATTCATCACACGGATACCAATTACTGACCATAAAGTCATCCCAATCTAAACGTAATCTGATACCTTGTTCCAAGCAACCTCCACCGGGTCTCACCCATATTATTATAACTATACGGGCCTTGCCTACGAGTCCCACCTAATTTGCACAATCGAACGAGCCACGCCCACGGGTCTCACCCAATCAAGTGCTATACAAGCATAACCTAGCCTCGGACATAATGACCCTCCTCCCTTAACATGGAGAAATCTTCCAATGATATTGGCCGCCTTGCCCCAGGCATGCATGGATCCCATTTCAGCTCAACAACCACTCCTTCAATGGCCTACCTCAATCTGGTGAATACTACGACTACATCACATACTTACACCACTTCTCTGACATCATATCATCCTTGTATATGCTACGACTTCCCCATAGTCTTACAACACTTCCATACTGCCATGAACTTAACCCATGGTCTTGCTGTCTGACTACCGAACCAACCATGATCATCATGAGTTAAACCCACATCCAACTATACCCCAATCAGGTGTTCGGGTCATGCTTCGAACCCCAAAGCCTTCATCATACAAAAATAGGAAGAGAGGCTCTAACACAACCCTCAACTTGGATCCAGTCACATATATGTCATGCATTACTATTAATATGCCAACCTATCGTTGAAAGTTTATGATCCTCAACCTTAGGCGACCTCTATCCAGACTGCCACTTAAATTGGCTTCCTTCTCGACTAGGATGTGAAACTCTTCCTAGTCCCACACCTGATTCTATCGCCGGAAAGTCAAGCGGTGCTCCCTCACTTTAATTTAACTACACACAACTCAATTTACTGGAAACAATGAATAACAAAAATTCCTTTTTCGGAACTGATGAATCTCCTACCCAGCATCACACTTACCGAGGGATCCAATTGTTCTAATCATCTTCCACCGATATAATTTGAAATTTCTGTGACAGTTCCAATGTCTGAACAAGCTCATGCGACCGCAATCATCATCATCTTGATATCTATCCTTCCCTATCAATGGTAGTGATCAGACCCAAAAGTCCTTCCATAAATGATCGCCATCTCTACTGGAAGACACAACACTTCTAAACTCTGACTTCATTGTTGAACTAATCATTCTAATCTGTCTACTAATCTTCCAAGCGATAATCTTAAATTTTTTCCACCAATAGTCGATAACAAACTACTTAACCATCTAAATCTAGCTCACCAAGACATATCCCACTCATAACTCTCGGCATGAAAAAATGGCATATAACAATCCTTGATAATATAAACTAGGAAATAGGAGAAAACTAAAATTAAAGATAATTTCTTACACATACAAGCACATTCATACGGATAATAAGTCATGAAAAAAACAAAGATAACATACCCATAATTGCATCTGATGAAACTCTAGCCTCCCCTGACTGACAAGGCAATGCTCGACTCCTCGCTGCAGGGGATCCTTCTCTACCCTCATAGCCATCATTGATCCTCAAAGTAACTAGAGTAGGTGCGTTCATTGCTCCATCCCTCAACATCGGATAACTAACCTTCTTGTGGCCCACCTGTTTGTAGTGAAAACACATCAGAACCGATCCACGGGGAACAATCCCTATTAAAATGACCCATCTAACCACAACTAAAACACCCTCGACCCGTCTCCTAAAATTTTCCCTCATGGGTCCTCCCATACTTGGCACAACAGTTATGGCCCTGATGGCCTCTCAAACGTGAACCCTAAGTCTTGGGCCTCTTCGCCTGTCCCACTGCGACCTGAATCTGCTCCAACTTCCTCTTCCCGAGGTGCTCTAAATCGATATCCTGCTCTCGGGCTCTAATAATTATATCATTCAGGTTCTCGCACCCTGACAAACGTACAAACTCCCTGATGT